TCCCTGCTCAGTGGGGAGTCTGCTTCTCCCTCTGACCCTCTTCCCTCTCGTGCTCTCTATCTCTCATTCTCTCCCTCTCAAATAAATAAATAAAATCTTTAAAATTTCCATTTGTTTCTTCAGCCTGGGACACAGCAGGTGGTCTCTTAAGTCAAAACACTTGAGTAACTTCCTTCAGCCCAAGAAGTATGCGAAAATCAGAAATAAGCAGCTCCAAAAAGATTTTCTTAAATTGAGGATTCACTAAACTTCTCAGTTTGTATCATCTTTTACTTAGTGGATCATTTAAAAAGCCTTAAAGATAAAGCAGGATAGACACAGTGCATAACTTTCTGACCTTCTGATTTTATTCTTTCTAACTTTGGCATCCTGATTTAACTTAAAGGATGGTGAATATCCATTACATACATTTTGCCCAAAATTACAAACAAGGTAAATGCTCTTTTCAAAGTTAAATATAACATCTTGTATTTTCTGAGAATTGAATTTTGATATTCAGTATGTAGTTGCCTTTGTAACCTCTTTTACACATGCACATAGAAAAAAATTAATAAAAACAAAGATTATTTTTATGATAGAAGTTAATATAGTGATATTTTTCCATGAAGAAAATGATGACATCATTTCTGACATGTAGAGAGTCAAATATACTATATATTTTAAAAGATTACTTACGGTCTAAATTGACTATTGTAGGTGTGGTATCACCTTCACCTGTAAAAATAAATAAATACACATATACACAATTCATACATACATATTTCTGTTATGTAGAACCAAAGCTATATTTTGAAATGCAAATGCCCATGAATTGGATAAATCACTAAAATTTGTGACATTTTATTTAGGGATAAAACATAATAGTATGCTTTTAGTAATTACATATCACTCTTACTGGGCAGTAATGAAGGTATATGCCTCCTGGTAGTGGATAAAGTGAGGAAAGCTCTATTTTATGACTCTGGAGCTTCCCAGGTGTGTGATTTGATGAGTGTGTTGGCAGTTTGGACTACACTGCTGACCTCAAGGAGCTGTATCGTTCTGCCAAGATGCCCAACATGGCAATGAACAATCCATTGAATAGCACTAATGCTTATTATAGTTTGCTTGGGCCATTCGTATAGATAGACTGTTTTTTACTCTAATTTGGGTGCTTTGTATTTTTTTCTGAAAATCACTTTTACTTTTTAATATGGCTGAGGATAACTGAAACATCACATGTTTCGGAAAACTCTTCAAGAATTCTAGAAGATAGAAATCAATGTCACTAAGAAAAAGAGGGATAACAAAATATAATTATGTTTTGTTAGAATATTTCAAATATTGTTTTTTCCACACTGTCATAAAAAAAGTATGGAAAAAAGAGAACTGGGAACTGCTAGTTAATTCTAACTAAAACCTCATAACTTACACTTTTCATAACCTCCCTACTGGGATTTAATGGCTGCAAAGAGAAAAGCTTGGAAGATGCTAGGATTTGAAAATACTTAGGCAATAATGAATGAGGCATAGGATATTTCCTGGAGTTTAATGTCTGACTATTCAGAATTGATGGCATAGAGTTTAGTCAGGCACTGTTTAGACCCAGGTGGTTGTTAATCCCTGGAAATGCCCTGAGCTCAAATAAACCGGCAACAAAACAATAATGGCATATGGCTTCCTTTGTAATACATGCAAATTTGATTGTTATTTATGGAGGACCTCATGAGAATTAATATATGCTAAAGCGTTTTTATTTATGTTCATTTTCCAGATCTAGATATTTTAAATGAATAAGGGTAAAGGCAAACATATAAATTTCATTATTTCCCTTTCCCTTTAGCTTAGCCTGGGGGAGGGTTTTGTTTTAGAGTCAGCTGAGGTCAGTATTTTAGCTCATAGTACAAATTAGGATTGAGGTCAACTATGGTCATTACAACATCAAGGATATTGGTTTTTCCACTGAAATCAATTACTTGAAAATTCTAAAATTAAAAACTAGGTATTTATTCCTTCTGGTATTGTGATGAAAAAAGACTAGGCCTCTCTATCCTTAATTGTATTTCAAGTTTTCTATTTCTAAACATCAAGTTAATAGGTCAACAAAATAGTTCATTATTGTAATTTACTGCAGTATTTAAATTAAAAAAATATAGATACTGTATATTTGGGACTTTAATAATTTATAGTTATTTTATAGTTATTTTTGCTTTAAACCAATATTTCTCACACTTTAGAATAAGCTGAAATATCACTTAAAATCAGATTTCTAGAGATTCTGAGCTGGTGGCTAGATTATGAGTTTTTAAAAAGCATTCTAGTTTCTTCTGTTGCACACTTTGAGCCCAACTTTGAGAAACTGCACTCTAGGACTTGGCCATTTTACCATCAAATGCTATTCTTACTTCTTTTTATTCCACCCCAGTACTTAAATCTGAAATTTATATATGATACAAATCTTCAGTATTGATTCAGATTAGATTTGAAGGGAAACATGTCAATAATAAAAGTTTTACCTATGGAAGAGTAGGTAAATGTGTGTGTGGGGGGGGTGTTTATATGGCCTCAGAACCAAATATGAGTTCTTACTGAAAAAGCTTTCTTTAATGTATTCTTAAAGTTTCAACCAAATTCAAATCCTTATGGACATCACATATATCTCCAGGCAGATATCTATGTTCCCATTTTCATTATATAATTTAATATGAATATATATTGTTAAATTATTATATTTACATAAATGTCTCTACACTGAGAACTAACCAAAAGAAAAAAAATATTGTTTACATTGCTGTATACTTAGCATGTTCTAATATAGGGCTTTGCACACAATAGCAACTCAATTTAAAATTATTAATAAATGAATAAACAATACAAACTGAGATAGAAGTTAAGTTGTCCAAGGCACCTACAGTGAGAGAACTGAAATTCTTAACCTGGAAGTTGGAGTCGAAGCTCTTAACCACTACACTCTAAATACTTAATGCTGAAGGTTTTTCTAAGATCTACAAAGTGTGTATGTGTATAGATTAATATATAGGCACTTCTATAATTTTATTTTTACATATCTGATAGTCTTTAAAATGTGTGCTATACTCTGTAAGCATTTTTTAAAAAGAAATAAAAACTTTTGTATGATTTGTAATACAAATGTACAGTGTGAAAATGATTTATAGAGTCTCTGCAGTTAAGTAAATAAGAACTCAAATCCTCTAAAGATAAATTTTATTAGCCTTTCACCAGCAGGAAAATGTAAATAAATCCTGGCTATAAATATTAGTTAGAAAAATGACAGTATAAAAATATTTATTGAAATTAATGTTCAGAATATATTGAAATAAAAATGAGTTATCTGCAATAGCATTTAATCAAATACTAGCGACACTCTGCAGTCTTCCAATAGCACATTACTAACTTTTAGTTTTAAAATGTTAGTTGAAAATATGTTTAGAAAACGTTTAAATTATTAGAGTCCTTTGTCAGGTTTGTAAACCAAATCACAGTTCCCTGAGATTCTACAGGAGCATTTTACTCTTAACTGTGTCTACGTGCAGTAGAACTGTCTTAGAAGCCTGACTTTTTTCCTTCTTCCTAGACCATTGGATATTTTATTAGCCTCCATTATTCTTAATCATAGAGACGTCACAAAAAGTTACCATCAGGTAAAGCTAATATTTATAAAAAATAATCCTTTAATCATTAAAAAGATGTATATCCCAGAGAGGTAGATTTCTTTGCTTTGTAGTGTTAAAACTAGAAAGACATCTTCTAAAGAAGAACATTTTCAGGACCCAGGCAAATCCTAATATGAGAAAAATAGAAAATTAGGAACACCCGAATTAATTTGAAAGGCTTTGATTACAGCTGATGAAATAAAATATAATGATATGATATGCTATTTCTTTGCAAACCTATAAAGTGTTTATTTACCATTATGGATAATTTATTTCCTAAAAATAGGTTGGGAAGTTCCAAGCCTTAATTATAGACATACTAGATGAAAATCATATTTAAGAAGTTTGACTTTTTATGCTAAAATTTCATGAAACATGACTAGCGTTTCCAGTTAAGGCAAGAAATTATCTCTTTAATTTGCCAAAAAATTATGTGTTTGTATTTCATGTTTTAAAGCAAACATCATTTCTTCAATCTAATCTTTTAAAATGGGTACTTTTGTTCAAGGTACTTGCTACTAGCTTTTCTCACACGAAAAATATTCTTTTTTGATTTTATTGAGTTTTTACAATTTTAACCCCAGTATAGGGGTTAGTATATAACACACAGTGTTATATTAGTTTCAGGTGTACAATACAGTGATTCAGCAGTTGTATACATTACTCAGTGCTCATCAGGATAAGTGTACTCTTTAATCCCCATCACCTATTTCACTCATCCTCCCCACCCACCAAGAGAAACATTCTTAAAATAGACTCTTACTGAACTTATACAATATGTCCTTTTTTAAACAGGAGATAGCTTAATACAATGTTTAAAGATGTTTGTTATAAACACAGAGCTATAAGATAGGTAGTCTAGTAAAATAGTCTTTTGCTACTGACACAGCTTTATAATAAACCTTTTTCACTCAATAGTATTTGGAGGATATACTTCCATCTCAATATATATTATTCAGTGGTACTCAGTGGGGATAACTTTGTTCCCCAGGGGACTTTTGGCAATGTCTAGAGATAGTTTTTGGTTCTCATGACTGGAGGAAGAGGTGGTTTTATTGACATTTAGTGGGTAGAGGAGAGGAATACCACCAAACATTTTATAGGGCACAGGACAGGTTCCTACACCAAAGATATGCAGTACAAAATGTCAGTAGTGCCGAAGTTGAAAAATCCTGAGGCATTTCTCCAAACTGACTTTCAGACAAGCTTTCCAATTCATAAAGGTAGCACAGTATTTGAAAGACTCTGACTACCCAGACCTTCACTAATACTGGACATTAACAATTACTTTTTACTTGCTAAACTGATTGGTGGAAATGATCTTAGGCTTCTACAATTTCATTTTTTCTCACTATTAAGCTTTAATGAATGTATTTATTTATTTATTATACTTACTCTTGAAGATTCATTTTCTTCATTTTTCTCCTAAATTATTTCATTTTTTCTTATTAATATATAGGAGCTCTTTTTTTATGTGGTATATCAGACATATATATTTTACATATATCTTTTACTTTACACACTGATACTCTTTTAAAAAATCATCTTTAAAAGAAATCAACTTTGACTCAGAGATGTGGATGGAATACTCTAAGCTTTTTAGTCTTTGGCTAATGCACTGAGAAGTGAAAGCAACACTCTCAGGTCTGTACATGTGTCTGTTACTGGGCGGGGGCTTTGTTAGAGCTCTGCTTTAGTCACAGCTTGAACAGTTAGTATTGGGAGGGGGGTCTTTTCTGGTGTAGTCATATTACAATAATGGCCATTTATTGTTTCTGGATTTCAAATGAGGATCTTCTGAGGAGGAAAATCTTCTTTAAAAGGTCAGCAGAATGTCTCCTTGTCTACAGGAGAAATGAAGAAAGGGGTGTGTGTGTGTGTTGCTGTCTGGAATGAATCCCCACTTTAGGACTGACTTCAACCCTCCTATATTTCCACCTCTGACTGAGGTATCAATTTAAAGGAGACTCAGCGTATTTAAAATATTTCACCTGAAGAAGATCATTAGAAGTACTTACAACGAGAAATAGGACAATAATCCCATGGAATGAGGGGATTTCCCGTGTAACACCAGGGACCATGGGCATCATCATCAGGATTCCGGCAGTAATTCTTATTCAGTTTACTAGCATCTGGCTCCCAGAAGATATGCCTGCATAAACAACAAACTCTAAACATCACAAGATGCTCATTTCATCCAACAGAAACAAACTGTCACCAAGAAGAGAAAATCCTAACATGTAATTTTCATTATAGATACAGTGCAAGCTTCTATTTGGTGTGAATTTTGGTTATTTTCTTTTAGACCTATTTCGTTGCTGTTCTTGCAGTTTGGAAGCATGTTCTCTACTCAGGATTATGGAATAGGACTACATAATTAGCACAGATAAAATGATGAAAAATTCTGTGACTTTGCTTCTCTTTAATAATTACAGTGGCAAGGTGACCACCAACACCCCTATGCATAGAAATGGAGAAACACTGCCAGAAAAAGAGCAGATGACAAAGAAGATCAACGTTATAAAATACATAGAAAATGCAAGCTATTGCAAAAGTATTTTTCATGTTTCAGAAACATAAAAAGCATCACTAACAACATCATTATGACAAAGGACAGAAAGATACTCTGAAAAATTAATAATACTGTGCTAATGAAATAATTAAAATCTAAACTTTCAGTGATTATATACTTACAATGCATGAGTTTTTGAAAGATAACTGAGTAACACTTTCTCATTTTACATCCTAACTAAGTTTATTACAAAAGAAAAGCAAAAATACTCTGTTATTTTATTAGACCATGCCCGGTCATAAAGCATCAGTATTTATATTTATTTTGATAAGATTAATAAAGCCAAATGCCAAATGGCCATCCTGACCAAGTCATGAAAATTCTACAAGTAACTGAATTTGTTTTGGATTATTAATTACTACCATGCTTGAATGTAATTAATGGGTCATTTAAAAACTGGAAAGAGCTTGGCCAGGTAAGGTTGAACTATCTTTCCGAACTCAGGTTCATTTTCTGGACCAATAATAACAGCAAACACAAATAGTACTTACTATGTGCCAGATTCTATTTTATGTGATTTACATATATAAATTTAGACCAACCTAATGAGACTGGCTGTAAGATTATTCTATTTTATATTTGACGACATAGAAATCCACAGATAACAATTTTTCTGAGGTCACATGCCTTATAAGCAGTAGAGCAGAGGTTTGAACAAATGGTTCTTTCCAGAGTCAATGTTCAAAACCACCATTCTGTACTATGTCCTTACCCAATTGCTGTTTATTCTTAAACCAAAATGGTACCATGAAACTTTACCATTCATCAATTTACGCAAATTGTTTTCAAATGACTTTTAACTATTTCCTAATGTCCAACCCAAACTCAGTGAATTAAGGTTATAACCATGAGTTCCCTAAATAAATATGTCATATATTTCCAGTGATATGTTGGTAATGTTTAAAAGGGCACTCTGAGGTGTGTAGGAAGTCTTTATTTGTTGTCCTTGCCAATTTCTGAGGTGTAAATTCTTCTGCCATAAAAAATATCAACTTTCCAATGTCCAAATCTTCAGAGATTGGTACAGTTGTCTCTCACAAGTCCATAAGAGCTAGATCCACCAAATAGCAGTGTTGAAATTAGCATTTAATCTTTTTTTTTAATAATTTTTTTATTGTTATGTTAACCACCATACATTACATCATTAGTTTTTGATTAGCATTTAATCTTAATCATGCTAATTCTCACTTAAAATTCTTTAATGAATCTTAATGCTTAGGAAAAAATCCAAAGTTCTAAACACACCTTACAAGGCTCCATATGGTCTTGCTACTGGAGAATTCCTTTTCTGTGGACATTAACCAAATTACACTATCTTTCAACCTTAGCAAAATTATTTCTGATTTTCAAACACTTCAGTCTGTGGGCTTTGGGACAAGCTATTCTTTCTACCTGATGTACTCTCTTCCTACACTTCCTTTGACCAACTTCTACTTAACATATATGCTCCAATTAATTTCCCTTTCTCTAGGAAGACTTCCTGACCATCTAAATCTGGATACTTCTTTGCACTTTCATAGCATAAAATATGCTAGTTTTCATAATTTTTATAATATGGTATTGGCATTTGCTGTTGGCTGGCATTCTAGAGTGTGAGATCCATGAGGTTAGAATTCTGCTTCTCTTTGAAATCCTAGAGCTGCAGTTTCCAATACAGTAGCTACTAGCCACATGTGGCTAGCCCAAATAGGTGCTCTAATTCAAGCAGATCTTGAAGCTTTAACATGAAAAAATGTAAAAGATTTCATTAACATTTTTTATATTGAATACATATTGAAATGAAAAGGCTTTAGATACATTGGATTAATAAGAAATATTATTTAAAATAGTCTTGCCTGTTTATTTTTACTTCCTTAAATGTGGCCATTAGAAAACAAAAGTACACGTGCAGCTTACATATGTGAAATGCATATTTATGTTGGAAAGCACTGCTTTAGAACTCTCACTATTTGTTTGTGAAGTAAATTAATTGAAACCATATCATCCACTAATGAGTACATTTTGGAAGAGAAGTAAAGTAGGACCAGAGGCAAAATAACTCAATCTCTCAGAACCCTTAAATTCTTTTTTTCTTTTTTAAGATTTTATTTATTTATTTGACAAAGAGAGAGAGACACAGCGAGAGAGGGAACACAAGCAGGGGGAGTAGGAGATAGAGAAGCAGGCTTCCCGCTGGGCAGGGAGCCCGATGCAGGGCTCGATCCCAGGACCCTGAGATCATGACCTGAGCTGAAGGCAGACGCTTAACGACTGAGCCACCCCGGTGCCCCTAAATTCTTATTCACACATATAGAAATATCTTCCACATAGATTGTGATGGCCAAATAAGATAATAACTCATGGAAAGCAACCATGGCATAAGTACTTGATCAAATGATACTAACCTTTTTCCTTCTATTCAACTGCATATGCTATTCTGGGATTTTGGTAAAAATCAGTTTTATGTCACAAGTATGTCTCAGACTTCTTTAGTAATTTCAAACACACTAGCACTATTGCTAGGGTGGAATGACAGACAGTGGCAGACATATTTTTCTGTGAATATGCCCAGTGTCAAAAATCTCTAATTCTCTGAAATATATAGGTTTTTTCAATTTTATATTATACATTCCTTTAGTTGTAGAAAAATTTAATATGTTAAAATAAAGCTATACCAGGAAACCTGTTTCTATAAGTTTTTAATAGTTAAGTGGATATTTAAGCTATGTGTGTACATGAAAACAGTAACTTACTGATTTTTCATGAACTGATGTTAACAATAATTAATTATGAGAACACAATCATATAACGCACTATTTGAAACACTAGATTTGCCACTTAATTATGCACTGTCTTATCAAGTTACACAGTTGTTTTCCCAATGTGATATATCATCCTTGAAGGTGAAGCCAAAACGTATGCCCATTTTTTTATTAGTGTCTCCCATGGGCACCTATCACAGAACAGAACACATAGTAAATACTCAATAAAAATGTGCTAGATTGAATTGCTTATTTAAAAGTTTGGGGGCTCCTGGATGGCTCAGTCGGTTAAGCAGCTGACTCTTGATCTCGGCCCAGGTCATGCTCTCCAGGTCAGGCTCCCAGTGGGGAGTCTGCTTTAGGATTTTCTCTCTCCCTCTGCCCCTCCCCCCTCCCTGCTTGCTTGCTCTCTCTCTTATATATAAATAAATCTTTAAAAAGAAAAAAGGTTGTTACATGAAGGGAATACACTAAATTGAGTTGCACAGAATAACAAATCTAATGTTTTTATTAGCTTACTATAATCCATAAGAATAGAAAGAAATAGCAATGTGCATATCTGAATATAATATCTGCTATTATCACTACATATTATGTATTGAAAGAAAGATATTTACATACCTGTGCAAGTCTTCCATGTTCTTCTCCCACATTGAACATGTTAGTCCAGATCGGGTTTTGGATAAACTGCCCATATAATTTTTGCCATTCCCACGATAACAATCTAAACATAAAATATATGAAAGAGGACTAATGAATACAGGGAAGTATAGAACAAAAACATTTTTACAAGCATGGAAATTCATGAAAGTCAACATAAAAGGTGACAACACACTCTGTACAAATCAGATGCTCAAATATTCAAGTTAAAGTATCTTTATTTTCAGCCAAATTTCTTCTTCCTTAAAATAGGGTTTATGTATCTCATTACAAATTGAAAAAAAAAAATCAAAGAAAAACGTTACATGAGTGACCCTTAGGGATACCAAAGAAATGAGAATTTTTAGAATGACATATATATTTCCCAGCATTTTCTTCGGAAAAAGTAAGCTCCACAGAAAAGTCACAAGAATGATATAATGAATACTCATACACTCGTCGCATTTGTTGTGTTTTGATTTTCGTCTTTCACGAGATTAACATTCTGAGTCACCCAAGCCAGCTGTTTTGCAAATGCTCTTTAATTCCATTTTGTCTGATTATTTTCTCATGATTAAAAGCAAGCTAAAGACAGGATTACGACATAGATGATATTTTGTCCTTTTCAGAGCATTTTATCTTGTAACATATGATGTCAGTTTGTTCCATTATCGGTGGTGAGTTTGATAACTTGGTTAAGTGATATGAAGGAAGATTGTTGGGGACCCTGAGACTAAGTATCTTATTTCCAAATAAATTTTCAGAAAATGGCTTAGGCATACTTTGTTTACCTTTGCATGAATTAGTCATTACTAGGCTGGTTTTAAAATAGTTGTTCTTCAATTTCCTACATTTCTTTATTTATTGTCATTTTTTTCTTCTCCCCTACTCCTTCCATTTAAGAATTCTGCTACTGCCACTGGTGCTGCCGCTGCCAGGGCTACTACTAGTAATACAAGTGCCTGTAGCAGAAGTGGGGCTATGCACATCTTCTGTCCACTTTTTACCCAGCATTATATATAATCTATTCCTGTTGCTCATTTTGATACTCAAAATTGTTCCAAAGTTAGCTGATGGAAGCCACTTTAAACTGGCTTCTGTGCCTTTTACTGTGTCCCATATGGTTTTATTTTTCATTTTTCTTCCCCAGATGAGTAATCTGTGTTTTACTAAACATTGATAGGAGGGTCCATATTCCTAATTTTAAAATATCATAAAAAAGAAGTCAAATTCTTCCAAACATGTGAGTTGCAGTTCTACGTTTGAAAAGAAACACTATTCCATATTTTAAAATAATAACACATATTTTAAAAGTGACGATCCATTAAACATTCCTGATTTTTATATGACTGAGAACTGTAGACTTGTAAAATGTTATTTACAAATATACATCAAGATTATTTCTGTTTTAAACTTGGTAAGCCACGCCCCTGGGTGGCTCAGTTGGTTAAGCGTCGGCCTTCAGCTCAGGTCATGAGCTGGGATTGAGCCCCATTTCAGGATCCCTGCTCGGCGGGAAACCTGCTTCTCCCTCTGCCGCTCCCCCTGCTCGTGCTCTTTCTCTCTCTCAAATAAATAAATAAAATCTTAAAAAAAAATAAACTTGGTAAGCCATAGTCTATCATAATTGGCTTTAAATATGCTTTTAGGGGCACCTGGGTGGCTCAGTGGTTAAGTGTCTGCCTTTGGCTCAGGTCATGATCCCAGGGTCCTGGGATGGGGCCCCACATTGGGCTCCCTGCTCCACGGGAAGCCTGCTTCTCCCTCTCCCATTCCCCCTGCTTGTGTTCTCTCTCTTGCTGTGTCCCTCTCTGTCAAATAAATAAATGAAATCCTTAAAGAAAATTTTAAAAATGAATAAATATGCTTTGTAATCATAATAAATACATACAAGTCCTAATAAAAACTTTAAATAAATAATTTAATAATTTGTTCAAGAATCAGTTAACATAGTGAAAAAGTATGTTCAATAGCCATGTTGTCAAATCCATGGATCACATTTCGTAGTAACACTATACGGAATTTGGGCTTAAATATAAAAACTCAAATAAGATAGGATTTGATACAGATAACATAGCAGTCATTCCAGTGCACAATAAAATTGCTTTCAGAAAGCAAAAACTTGTAAAATCCAATACTTGTACATAAACAGACTATACCAATGAAAACATTTTCCTCTGATGGTGTGTTTTTTGTTTCTATATTAGGAAAGTTTAAATCTTTAGCTGTTAGGTAGTAAATTCTTTAGATAGATTCTTACTTAAAGAAAGCAATTGTGTGATGCAATACACTAGTGCTACTTTTTTATAGATTTTTGGGTTTTTTGCATATATGTTTTCTATATTGGAGGAAGAGATCCTCCTCACCACCACTACCCTTTTATTTGAATGAAGGCTATGATATATTTTCTTTCCTTCTTAGTAAACTTTTTATTTTAGAATAGATTTAATTTATAGGAAAGTTGTAAGTTGGTACATAGAGAGTTCTCATATACCACAGTTTTCCCTACTTTTAATATCTTAGATTAGTATGATAGATTTGTCATAACTATTGAGCCATTCTGATGCATTATTAACTGAAGACCATATTTTGGTCTTCATATCTCAGAAATATCTTTAGTTGTTAATCTAATATCCTTTTTGTATTCTAGGATTCCACATGATACCACATTATATTTAGTTGTCATATTTCATTAGGCTCTTCTAAATGTGACAGTTTTTAGACTTTCTTATTTGATGACGTTGTCAGTTTTGAGGAAAATTGGTCAAGTATTTTTTTGAGCATTTTTTTAAAGATTTATTTATTTAAGGCGGGAGGGGCAGAGGGAGAGAGAGAATCTCAAGCAGAATCCCCCAAAGAACACAGAGCCTGACACAGGGCTGGATCCCACTATCCCATGCCCCTGAGATCATGACCTGAGCCGAAATCAAGAGTGGGATGTTTAACCAACTGAGCTACCCAGACACCCCCGGTCAAGTATTTTTTTTTAAAATGTCCATCAGTTGGGTTTGTCTGATGTTTTCCTCATGATTAGATATGGGTTATAGGTTTTTGAGAGGAAGACATGAGTTTTTTTTAGCACTTCTTTTTTTTTTAAATGTTTTATTTATTTATTCATGAGAGTCAGAGAGAAAGGGAGAGAGGCAGAGGCAGAGGGAGAAGCAGGCTCCCCGCCGAGCAGGGAGCCCGATGTGGGACTCGATCCCAGGACCCTGGGATCATGACCTGAGCCGAAGGCAGACGCTTAACCATCTGAGCCACCCAGGCGCCCCTTTTTAGCACTTCTTAACTTGCTGGTGAAAGATATTCCAGCCTCACCTTGTTCTTTTCTTGTCCCAGGCCTTCTGGAATCATCAATTTCTCCAAGGGGCCTTTGTTTATTTTAATGATGAAAAGTAAGAAGATAAGAAATAGGTGTCAAGGGTGCTTTTGTTATATGTGAATTTAAGCATAATTTCCATGTGTTTGAAGGGAATTTATATATACACACTATTTTTTTAGAAATCTCAATGTATTTTGTTCATTACTTCAGTTTTTTGGTCCTTTAGTTTTTAGTTTCAGAATTTTTATATATTAAAAATATTTTCTCTTTATCTGTAATATGCATTTCAACACTTAGATCCAAATTTGTCTTAGTCTTTTTATTTAAATATGGGTTTGGGGGCACCTGGGTGGCTCAGTTTGTTAAGCATCTGACTCTTGATTTAGGCTCAGGTCATGATCTCAGGGTCATGAGATCAAGCCGCATGTTGGGCTCTGCCCTGGGCATGGAGCCTGCTTAAGATTCTCTGTCTCCCTCTCCCTCTGCTCCTCCCCCTGCCCTGCTCCTGCTCTCTCATGTTTTATTTCTCTCTCTAAAAAAGTAATAATTAAATAAAATAAAAATAAATGAATGAATATATATGTGTGTGTGTGTGTGTGTGTGTGTATATATATATATAGTGTATGGGTGTACATGAGCATTTGCCTCGGTAGGTTTGTAATGTAGTTTATAGTTTTTTTTTTCTTTTGCTTCCTCTAGTGCTAATTAAAAAGCTTTTCACCATATCTAAGTTAAAAAGGGATTCTTCCAATTTTACTTCTAGTATCTATATGGTTCCCTTTTTTAAATTCAGATTCTTATACATTTGAAGTTTATTTTGCAGTATGGTATAAGGCATGGATTTAATTTTATCATTTATAATTTTATCCATTATACTTTAAAAGTTCATTTTTCATCCAGTGATACATAGTGCCACATTTTTAATATAATAAATCTCTGTAAGGAGTCTGTTTCTGTCCCTCTGTGTTTTTTCCAATTGTCAATTTATTCATTGCACTAGAACTAAAGTCTTAATTACAAGCTCTTTATAAAATGTTTTAATATTTGATAAGGTTAATCATCTCTAATCACCCTTATTTTTCAAGATTTTACATAATATACTTATGTGTTTATTCTTCCAAGAGAACTACAGAATCAGGTTTTTTGTATCAAAAAAAGACTTATGGATCTATTTCCTAATATCACATTACATTTATAAATTACTTAAGTAGGAGTGCCTGGATGGCTCAGTCCATTAAGCGTCCGACTCTTGATTTTGGCTCAGGTCATGATCTCAGGATTTGAGATCGAGCTCCATGTCAGGCTCCAGGCCTGCTTAAGATTCTCTCTCTGCCTATTCCTCTGCCCTTCCCCTATTAGCGCGCGCTCTCTCTCTCGCTCTAAAAATAAATAAATAAATAAATAAATAAATAAATAAATAAATAATTAGCTTAGGTAGAATTGATGTATTTATGATGTTGAGTTCTCATATCAAGAAAAAGGGATGCTTTGTCCCTTTAAAGTACACTTTTGTGGCTTTCAGTGGTGATTTTAAAATGTTATTACATAAATTTTGCACATTTCTTTCTAAATTTATTCCTGTTTCCATCACTTTTGTTGCTATAATAGATATAGTTTTCTCCTTAATTAAATCTTCAAACTCATATATGAATGTTACTCTAGTGAATTTTATTACTTGAATTCAATTTTCAGAGTATATTACTATTACATCATTTACATAAATAAAGATCTTTTGTTTTTTTACCCAATCAATATGATTTCTTATTTATAAGGAATAATATCTCTAATACAGGGTTAAAGAGGAATATGATAACCTATAATTTACAATGTTAAAGAGTAAAGATAGTATACTTTCTTGTTTTCTTTTTTAACTTCCTAAGAATGTCTGTAATGTTTCCCCATCAAGTATAATGGATAAACGCTTTTGTGTATGTGGGCATGTCTATGTGTCTACGTGTATATGTTAAAATGTGAATATATATTTTAAGGAAGTCTCTCTCTCTGTTTATATATAGATAGATATAGATATATGGATACGTGTGTATAATGTGTGTATTCCAGAAATTCTTATTTGGGTAATTTTATGAGAAAGGAGTGAATTTTGTAACAGGAATTTCAAAATTTGTTGACATTTATTATATGATTGTTTTTCTAAGATGAATTATTTTAATGGGTTTCTAAAACTGAATCATTTTTGGTCTCAGACTAAACTCCATTCTATCATTATGTATTATTTTTTAAGTTGCTTTATCGGACTTTTCACTCATTCATATAAAATTTTTATATTCACAAATGAGATACGTTTACTGTTTTTTTCTGTGTTATCTTCATCATGTTTAGGTATTAATATTATAATGTCATCACTACTGATGGAAGTTTTACTATATTTGTTGAACTACATAGCAATATATGTAGCATTGAGATTAACTGGTCTGTGAACACATCTAGGCACAGTATATTTTTGATGGAACAGTTTTCATTAATAAATTCCCATATTTCTTCTATAAGAATAGGTCTAATTCTTTGACTGATTGAATTGATCAGGGTCAATTCAATTCAAATAATTTTAATTTTTCTAGTAAATTATCCATTTCATTTTTATTTTCAAAGTTTCTTGCATGAGGTTATATAAAATAGTCTTTTAGGTCTTCTAATTTTCCTGTTTCAATGGTTATTTCCCCCTTGATAATTACCATTTTATATTTTTGTCCTTTCTTTTTTTCTTGAGTCAACTAGCTGGTGCTTATCTATTTTGTTAATTTTTTTCAAAGAACCATCACTTTGCTTTATTCATTAATTCTCCTGTTATTAGCTCTAGATATTACTAATACCGGCTTTATCTTGGTGGTTTTCCTTTTTATACTGCTTTCGGCTTGTTTTCTCCCCAACTCTAAGTTTGAAATTTCATTCACTTTCTTCATTATTTATGATATTGATATAACCATTTATTTTTTTTAAGATTTTATTTATTTACTTGACAGAGAGATAGAGAGAGAGAGCACAAGTAGGCAGAGAGGCAAGCAGAGGGAGAGAGAGAAGCAGACTTTCCACTGAGCAGGGAGCCCGACCTGGGGCTCGATCCCAGGACCCTGGGATCATGACCTGAGCTGAAGGCAGCCGCTTAACCGATGGAGCCACCCAGGCGCCCCTTGACATAACCATTTAAAGCTATGAATTGCATCCCATTTACTGCTTTAAATATATATTATATAATTTAACAAGTTGTTTTAAAAACATTTTTAAAGAAAGTCTGTAATTTCAGTTTTCATTTTTTAATAGAGTTGTTTAATATTCAATTGGAAGAGCATTCATATATATGCTAATTCAGTTGTTGCAAGATTTAGGAAGAACGTTTCTAATTCATCAGTCTATTTGTGTTTATATGTTATATGGAGAAGGATAAGAGCAACATCCTTTCGCGTGTATGTATGTGCATGCATGCATACATATCACATATTTAACAATGCATACCATTAGCTTAGCAGTATCACACAATGGCATAACCATTAAAACTTCAGTTTTATGTTGGATTAGCTAACAGTGTCTCTTAAGTGGATTTCCTCATTTTTAACTTGCCCCACAGAACCTAGCACATTGTTGCATGTGTCAGGTGTAATATATTGTTGAAAATAATATAACATATTGTTAAAAGTAATGGAAAGGTCATTCTAAGGAAGGTTATATTCAATCCCAACTGTGCTAATTTGAGAATTTAGGCAAGTTATCTAAATTTCATAAAACTAATTTCCTCATCTATTAATTTCTAGATTTATTAGATAAACAATATCATCAGCTTAACTTGTACAATCTAAAATTCTCATATTCTGTTACCTGATTCTTTGGTAAGTGATATATATGTACATAAAAGCATCTTAATATACATAAGAAGCTTATTAAAAAATTGTTCTCATTTCCCTCTATCTCAAATTATCAGTGCATGTTTAAATGAACAATACAGGGACAAAGAAGATCCAGCTGGTACTAAACCTTCTTTAAACATTGGTTTCAACTTTATTTCCAAGTGACCTTTAAAATCTGCAAAAAAACAGTGAAATTGACTGAAAAGGGACTGAACCCCTCTTCCCTCTACAACTTTTAACAGTTGCTCATGAAAAATGGCACTGCAGAAAAAGTTAAAGGATGGAAGAAGTATGTATAGAACAATAAATCTATGAAATGGAGCTTTAAATTTGGCTTGGGCTTTTTAGGATGATTTAGGACTGACCATGACCATCAAAATTAAATTTATGAGAAAGAATATGATTACTTAAAAATCATAACCTTCAATTCATTATATACTAATAAATGCTCAGATTCCAACATCTTCATTAATCTTTGACAAATGATTTATTTTTTAAGCCTATTTCAGTCTGACTTCTCTGCTGCCCTCCCTGAAACAGTGATCTTCAATGGCATATATGTTTCCCGGTATAATGGTGATTTATCCCAAACCCCACAGCTACACATCATCTTCACACTGACCCCCAGGTCCACATCACTCTCCTCTCTTTCCTGAATTACTGAAACAGCCACATAACAAATTCTCCTGTTTGGGAGAAGTTGTCAGAAGTTGTCAGAAGTTCTGGCTGTTTTCCATAATGCACCCAGAGTCATCCTGTTAAAACTTAAACCAGACAGACCATCTAATTTATCTTTTAGGAACCCTACAACAAAATCCCTTCTCTTTCAGAGTAAAAGTGTAAATCCTTCCAATTCCTATAAGGCATATGCAATTTTAGTCCAACTCTTCTCTAACCACATCCCCTGTGACTCTCCCCCTTGCTCTGTACTGATCACAGTGGTGTGCTTGCTGTCTCTTTCCTTTACTTTTCAAACACTGTCCCATCTCATTCCATTTGCACTTGTGGTTTCCTCTACCTCAAATGCTACAGTACATGGCACATGCTGCTTCTTCCATGTCCTCCTTAAGTGTCCTTGGTATGTCAGATCTTCCCATACCATTAAAATATGTAATAACAACACCCTCCCCTCTAACCCTGGGACATTTTCTCTCTGGCACTTACCACAAACTAACTTATTCCCACTTCCATTTTGCTTGTTTTGTTCCTGTTTTCTGTTTGCTGGAGTTTCTGGAGTTCCATGGAGTCAGAGAATTTTGTTTTGTTTACTAGTATATCCCCAGTGTCTAAAACGGTGCCTGGCACTAGTATACGCTCAAATAAATGAGTGTTGAGCCAATGAATGTATAAAAGAAATGCAACTTCAGACTTGGTGATTTTGTTTGGGAACCAGCAAACCAGTGCAACAAAAAGTAGGTCTCTCTTGAGGCATTTCCCCTGAATTTAATCAAGCCCACCCTGCAAAATGTCAGCCATTACCTTGTCCACTTGACACATCACATTTTGGAATTTGGGAGCAGTAGCCAACTCGGATGTTTGGATCAGTGGTAAAACACCAGGGTGACTCAGCTCCATCTGGATTTCGGCAATAATTTTCTCTTAGGTCCCTATTGAGAATAAGCATGTTAATGTAAATTGCCTGAGTTCTTACAAATGGTAAGTTAGCGCTGTTACATTTCTAGAATCCCAGAATGCATGCATGTTTATAAATAGAGTTCTAAGTTTTAGATTTAGGATAGTTATAACAATTTAGAATTCAGTATACACAAATGACATTGCCCATATTACTGAAATAAAGGCTGTCAGATGTCAGTATTCTTTTCATTCCACAGGCCCAGGGTTCCACAGAAACACTACTGCTTCATGAAAGGGAAAAAATAGTACCACTTCATTTTTCTCATTCTCAACACTTGGACTCTCAACTATTACAATTTTTAAAAAACTGGCCTATTATTTATTATGTTTTCATGGCCCATATATAATGTAGAAACAACATGTATCTCTCTTTGCTGAAGAAAGTCTATTATGAATAACTGTTAACTACTCTCTTTTAAAATGGAAGTTCTACCTATCCAAACATTTGATACAAAAAAAAAAAACACAATAGCTTTCTTCCTTGAATTCTGTACTTTTTAAACTTAATTTGCTGCATAGATTTCTTTCCCTTACAAAGTACTTCTTTATTGATTTATAAAAGTTATTTGAAATCTTATAAATATTTCTGTAAAATTAAGGCCTTTTTTTTTATTATGTTATGTTACTCACCATACATTACATCATTAGTTTTTGACGTAGTGTTCCATGATTCATTGTTTGCGTATAACACCCAGTGCTCCATGCAGTACGTGCCCTCTTTAATGCCCATCACCAGGCTAACCCATCCCCCCACCCCCCTCCCCTCTAGAACCCTCAGTTTGTTTCTCAGAGTCCATAGTCTCTCATAGTTCGTCTCCCCCTCCGATTTCCCCCCCTTCATTTCTCCCTTCCTACGATCTTCTTCTTCTTTTTTTTTTTTAACATATAATGTATAATTTGTTTCAGAGGTACAGGTCTGTGATTCATCAGTCTTAAACAATCCACAGCACTCACCATAGCACACACTGTCCCCAGTGTCTATCACCCAGCTACCCCATCCCTCTGCACTTATATTTTAAAAATGTATGTTGGTATAAAATATGTGCATTGAGTTTTACATCAAGTTTACACAGCTTTGCTATTTTAAATGAATAATTGCTTAGTTAAATTCTTCTGAATATGTGTACATACACAATTTCTTACATGAGTATTATTACCAGTCATTAGAAATTAACAAAACATGTGAATGGCACTGACACTGTCTCCTCTCTTTGTCTTAACTAAACTTTCCTCATTTTCTTTGCTTTCTCTACTTCGGTATTTATTTCTGAGGTGTGAAACACATGGGTCAGGAACAGAGACAACTGCTATGAAGAAAATGAGGGAAGCAAACCCACAATGACAGGTAAAATTTTGTTATAAAATAATGAAAAAAAATAACATGAATATTTACTATCTAAGCAAATACATTGAATTAACTAAAACAAACAAAACAAAAAAAATACCCATAAAATATCTCTTCTCTCCAGTGGATGGACCGACTAGTGCTCATAATTCTCCATCTTGAAATGTTAAGCTCTCTTATTAAAAGCCAATTACATAAAGCCAATATATGTTATTTATAGGCGCTATTTCAGCAAAGCCACTATGAATGGCACGTGTGTTATAAATTTCAAAAGCAATCATTTTATGTTCCTCATAACAAGGAGGACAATTTAAAAACACATGGCATTGTGGCTGTTCTGTGTAGCAAAAGTCAAGTGGTGAAAAAAAACAGCCTTGGAGAAGGTACATAACCGCAATATAATTGATATTCAAGGGCAGTTTCTTTGGCTTGATTCATCTGAACAATTGTTTTACTTTCCCACTCTTGAAAGGAAGTCTAGAAACAGCAGAAAACATATTTAAAATTTTAAAAATAATATTGCTTCCAGGTCAAAAATGCATCAGTTTACATTGTTGATTGAAATCAAGGTATGCCTCTTCTTGTGAAAGGAAAAAAAATATGTAATCTCCCTTAAAATTAATGTGAAGCTTTAAGAAGGCACTAATTTGAAACTTGCCTGGTTATCATTACTGCTAATGATTTATTAAATGCAAAACCAAAGCTGTGATCAGAAACCTAGGGATGTGTTTCCCAAAATATGGTACATCAACCATCTGATTCAAAAATACCTAGAGTATTCATTAAAATCCATATTTGAGGTCCAGATCTCAGACCTAAGGAAGCAAAATATCTGGGTGGATGAATCTGTCTTTTAACTCCTGATTGTCCCTAGGCACACTAAAGTTTAAGAATTTCTAACACAGAAATTAGTAGAGTAACCATTCCACCTCATTTCTTGCAGAGTCCGCTGAAATTTATATGTGCCTAATATACTCACTTGCACTTGAAATTTTCAGGAGTTATGTCATGCTGGTGAGGATACTGGGAACCCCAACGCTGACATGGAATTCCATTCCAAATAGTATTGATGGTGCCCCGGTAACCTTCTCCTTGACCTTGAATGCATTCAGTTGTTTCCATAGGGACATCTGTGTCATTCATAGTACTGTGAGCTATTGGTAAAAAGAAATATTAAATTTAAGTAAAATCTTTTAATCTGTCATCTACCTCTTAGTTTTAATTTGCATATGTATTACTAGAGTTTTCTGTCACATAGGTTTTTATAAAAATTGAGTAGAATAAAAATTCAAGTTATCATTATTGCTGTCTCACTCAACCTAAAAGAATGAGTTACCATGGTGGACTCAACTGTAGGATTTCTCTGATCATGAAATAGAATATTCTAGCTTGGTTTTATCTAGACTAGTTTGAAAGAGCATCATATAATAGCACTTAAATTTATTGGATCTGTCCATTCATTAATATTAGTTGTAAAATCTATTTATTAATTTTAAATATGTTTTTTAATCAGCTTTCTTACTTTAGAAATTAAAAAAATCTATAAGTAATATAGTGACCACATGGGGAGAGTAAAAAGCACTATGTTGGGGCACCTGGGTTGCTCAGTCGCTTAAACATCTTCCTTTGGCTCAGGTCAACATCCCAGGGTCCTGGGATGGAGCCCCACGTCAGGTCCCCTGCTCAGCGAGAAATCTCCTTCTCCCTCTGCCTCTCCCCCTGTTCATGTTCTCTCTCTGTCAAATAAGTAGATAAAATCTTTAAAAAAAATAAATAAAAAACAAAAAGGACTATGCTATAAGTTTGGCCATAAAAAATGTAAGAAAGGGAAAAGTTGGTCTAGAGAACAGTTACTTTTTTAAATAAATTTATCATTATTATCTCCATTCCAATTTTCTTTTCATTCAAACACTAAAATAGTATATTTTGAATAATTCTTTAAAGGCATTCTACTTCCGTGTGTCACTATAACTAATATATGCTGAATAGACAGTATTTCTTTTTGCTTTTTAAGATTTATTATTTATTTATTTGAGAGAGAGAGTGCGCAGGGGGAGGGGCAGAGGGAAGAGCAGGCTCCCCTTGAGCAAGGAGCCTGATGTGGGAGTCGATTCCAGGACCCTGGGATCATGACCTGAGCTGAAGGCAGATGCTTAACTGACTGAGCCACCCAGGAGTCCCTAGACAGTATTTCTGAAATGACTATACAATTAATCCTAATTAGTTTGTTTAAATACATATAAAAGTTGGTAATTGTATTAACCATGGTTTTCCTCCAGTATGATAAATATATTCTAAGCTGGTATGTTATGTTTTTAATCAATTTGTTAGTATTAAAAGAAATCAGTTGTTTCTAGGCAGATTTATTTCCTGTTTTTTTCCTAGTCCAAATACAATTCTTACCACATTTCATGCAGATCATAAAAATCTCCATAACAAAGTAAAAAAAGTACAAACTTAAAATTTTACTACAACTTTGACTTTCTCTTTTGTCTTTAATGTTTATTTAAACAAAATGTAACTGAAAACTTTCTACAGCAACTAAAATTCATAACACCTTCTCAAAACATACATGAAAATATTTACGGTTCAATAGAGTAAAGTCAATGTAAACTCCCCGGTTACCTTTACAATCTAAATGGTCATTAAAGATGTCCCTGGATAAAACTCAAGCTGACACACTCTAAGACAGTTTAGGATTTGAATAAATGCCTTTGATTCATCCATTCTGGAATTATATGTATCATTTCTCAAAAGAAGTCAGAACTAAACATGCCTTCAGAGGCTAGGGATGTCTATAAAAGTGTTCCATATTTAATAGTGTAAGTTCTTTTTAAATGGCTCCTCAATTTTAGTTAAATTTATTTCTTTCTGGAGCACCTGGCTGGCTCAGTCAGTTAAGCATCCAGCTCTTGATTTTGGTTCAGGTCATGATCTTAGGGTCGTGAGATTGAGCCCCAAGTGGGACTCCATGTGCAGTGGGGAGTCTGCTTGAGATTCTCTCTCTCCCTCTTCCCCTCCCTCTGCTCACACGTGCTCTGAATCTCTCTAAAATAGATAATCTTTAAAATGAATGAATGAATGAATAACAAATATAAATACATAAATAAATTTCTTACAAATAATTACTCTTTATGGGGTGTAATGTTTTATTTCATTGAGTTCCATGCAAACTAAGGGGAACCTAAGTTTGGAGTTATTCTATGAAACTCAGTGAAAAAGAAGGAAGATTAATTAATGACCATGTCAACCACTGGAATATGTTGTATAAACAGATTTCCATAAATTGCCCTTACAGTAAATTTTCTTCAGTTCTATTTAAAATATGTTTTTATTTCTTATGTATCTACTGCAGGGAATGAAAATTTGGCTCAGAAAAACCTTAAATTAAAAGGAACTTCAAATGGAGATAAGCAAATGTCCAGAGATTGATCCACAAAGTGGTCGTTGAGAGTTGATTTCTGAGAGTTAATATGTACTGATATTGGTAACATATATCAACTCAGGAAGAACAAAATTTATTGGCCTGAAGAAATGACTTGTATAGAAAAAGTTAGTGCTCGTTAATCAAGTCCTTTATGATTTTAATATTAAAGTTTTTAGATGAGGGGCACCTGGGTGGCTCAACTGGTTAAGCATCTGCCTTTGGTCATGATCCCAGGGTTCTGGGATCGAGTCCCACAGCTTTTCCCTCTCCGTTTACCCCTCCCCCTGCTCGTGCTCTCTCTCAAATAAATAAATAAATAAAATCTTTAGAAAAAATAAAAGTTCTTAAATGAAATAGAAAGTAAGATGGATTTTATAGGTCCTCAGGAACAATATTTTATCAAAACGAATGCCACCAAGCTACTATATTTCTGATGATTTGAGTTAATTGTTAAATGATTTGAGGATACTGGGTGTATGTGGAGCGGGGGGCATCTTTAAAGGGTGATAACTTTAAAAACAGTTAAACTGTCAAGCTTGTACTGACATATTTCATATCTAATTACAAAACTATTATGTTTAAAAGACAAAAACAAGTGTCTCCAGGAACTTCTCAATTCATTACCTTAACATTTTAAGAAGAAAAGTTTTTTTTGTTTTTTTGTTTTTAGAGAAGCAGGCTTCCTGCCAAGAGCAGGGAGCCCAATGCGGGACTCCATCCCAGGACCCCGGGATCATGACCCGGGCCAAAGGCAGACACTTATGAGCCACCCAGGCATCCCAGAAGAAAAGATTTTATTTCCCCCACTTCTTAGACACAAGTTCCTGGGAAGCAAACTGAGTTAAGTAGAACCCAGAGAAGGAGAAGAAGGTCAGATTTAGGGCAGCCAGAGCAAAAGTACTTCAATTAATCTTCTTAGGAACTTCATTGTTTGTCTGGGTACTTCTACTGCCTTACTTTCCTATGTATTTGTGTGTGTTTGGTTTTATTTGTTTGTTTATTACTGACCTATTTTTCTCAATTATTACTGTGACGTTGTGAACATGTAATCTAAAAACCCAGTCTTGGTGAATTTCAAGATCAATAAGGGCTAGATATGGGTCCATCATATCTTACTGAGAACATAGCTAGAGGCTGAGCCCATAAGAGATTAACATCCTCTGCTCCTTGGACACTACAATGTCAATATAACATTAAAAATCAGATATCATTTCTAGAATGTGTTATTAGACAAGAGTAATTGGATTTTCAAAGTAATTTTTTTCATAAATACCTTTATTAAAGCGACATTTTGTAGAAATAACCCATGACAATTAAAATTTGAAACACAGAGCCTTAAACTCAAAACAATTTAATTTCACTTTTTTTAATAAAAGGAGATATAATTAAACAAATATTATAATTCATGAAGAAATCAATATCTATGAAATTCAGTGAGTAACCACATGTTCATCAGAAAATTTTAAGAGGAATCATAAAATTTTAAGGCTAGTAGAAAATGAAATTTTCCTAATTTGAGGGAAGAGTTTTCAAATTTTAGGAGTATCTGTGAAAAGAAATACCTATATTACAAAACCCTAAGTAAGAAAAAAAGAAAAAACTTGAATAAAAATATTGAGGAAAATATTTCACTGTTGATTCATCCACTAAAATTCCAGTGTCAAGTTCAGAGACCTATTGTTGGTACTAAATTTGCAACTCAACTGCAGAGGTCCCCAACAAGTTTTAATTAAAGATTTTTTTCACTGCAATCATAAAATCCTCATTCTTAGTTGAACAGTTTTTTTCTTAACTTTCATCAGTATAATTTAAAATCTTTGATATAAATTTAAGGAATCACTAAATATTCACTTAAAGACAGTGTAAGTTAAAATGAGTAAATAAAAAACACAAGTTTGGATTTGTTTTAAATAATTTGGATTATTTAACAGATTCTAATCTTTTGGTGGAAACTCAAACCTTTTGAAATTACAAAAATTACCCAATACAAAGAACTACTGCACATTAATAAAAATAGAGCATAGTACAGAATAAATATAACTTTTCATGAGATGTTGCTATAGACCAAATACTTGTGTCTCTCCCAAATCCATATGTTGAAATCCTCTTATTAGACAAGAGTAATTGGATTAATGTGATGGTATTAGGATGTAGGGTTTTGGTGGGTGATTAGATTATAAAGGCAAATCCTTCATAAATGGGATCAGTGCCTGTATAAAAGAGACACCACAGAGCTCCTTCAGCCCTTCCACCATGTGAGGAATCTTCTGGCACCTTGATCTTTGACTTCCCAGCCCCCAGAACTGTCAGAAATAAATGCCTGTTGTTTAGAAGCCACCCAGTCTATGGTATTCTGTTATAGCAGCCCAAGACAGGCCTCAACAAAATAAAAAAAAAAAAAAAATCTAATTAATAATATTATTTTTTTAACTTTTACTTTAATAAGCATCCATAACTTTGAAATATATAACCTCAAACAACTTGATGGCTTTATTTATTCTTATGTTTTAATTCAGTGGAAATATTCCTTATGATTTTAACTATGAACTGGCAGTATTGAGATAATATTTTTCAATAACTAAAAAGTGCCCTCTGAAGTTAGTGTGTCTGTATTTATCCCATTTGACACTCAGCTCCTACAAGTGACCTCATAAACAAAAACTACATGATTTCTGGTGGTAATTATAGAATAAAATGAAACTTCATGCATATTATTTGGACACATAT